GGACGTGGAATTCGATCGTCCAATGATGCTAGTTGATCCAGAGAGTGCGCAAAAAGGGCACGAGCCGAGCGTGGCAGTAGTCGCCGTTGTCAGTAAAGATGAAGTACAAGTTAAAAGCCAGCTTGAGGAAGAAGATGAAATGTACGTTCACTGTCGGGCTTCTGCTACACTTGCTCCGGCTGATAGTGTCTTCGACCTCGCTGAAGGATGGGGTTTCTTGGATGAAGCTAGAAAACGCATGCCGCAGGCTGTTCCTCCTGAAGAAATCTACAGTGCGATGGCTTTGTCCGGACTCCAATACAAGAAGAGGTTCCAGACCATACGTGAGGCCTACAGAAGTGAAACTGAAGCACTGTGCAGGCTCCAAATCCAGCAACCGTCTCTACCATTCGAAAGGAACTTCCGCTTCCATCCGGCTCTGTTGGATGGTGCCATCCAGTCCGCCTCACTACTACTAGACGACGTGCAGCCAACGCGTCCTATGGTTCCTGTCGGCATTCGCAAGGCAACAATGGCGCGATTGCCGCCAGATGTTGTTGTTTGGAGCCATGCGGTCTTAAAGAAGAAGGATTCGAACACAGCTATCCTAGACCTAACTATATTTGGAGGTAAAGGACGACCTTATGCAGTGCTAGATGATCTGACGCTACGTGTTGTAGACATGTCACAGCGCGCCTCCATCCCAAGGAATTTCCTATGGGAAGTAAGGTGGCGTCCACGCTTCCCTGATGGCGAAGTAAAGGCTTCTGCATCCACAAGAAATAGCGCCGGGGGTTCTCCAGGGAACAGCGGGGGTCAGCAAGATGATATCGAAACGCGCACGACATCTCCACAGTCTGACTCTCACCCGAGAAGAGCAGTTCCTATATTATTGCTTAACTGCCCTGAGGACTTTGTGGAAGGTACAAAGGAATGTGCCAGTTCAATACCTTTCCAGATGGCCTCAGTTGAGGCATTGCACGGTGCATTGGACCAAAAGGGGACAGAAGGCAAAGTGTTCAGTGCAATTGTTTACATGGGTGCTCTAGATAAACTGCGCTCTGAGGTAGACTGTATCGACGATTGTCTGACAATATCCAAGGCTTTGGCGCAAGCTCCAGTTCATGTTGAGATTCCTCCCACCTTTATTCTTACTACAGGGCACGTTCACGCAACAGAAGACGACGCGGTCTTCAACCCAGTTCATGGTGGTGTCTGGGGATTCTGCAGATCTGCTCGGCTTGAAGTCGAGAACATCATAGGGCGGCCGGTACACCTTGGATGTCTGGACATACCCCCAGAAGCAGCGAACGATCCCTCGGTACTTGCCCATATTGTCACGCAGGCAATACCCGATGATGACTCTCCTCCTGAAGTCGAGATTTGCTTCCGGGACGATGTCCAGTATGTCCCACGACTGTCTAAATCTCCCGTCGAGTGCCGTGGTCCAGTCGAACTATTTTTGGGTAACCGTGGCGCCTTGAGCATGCTTAAGCTACGGCCCCTACCGGCTGCAGCACGGGTCGATCCGCCTGAGGGGTGTGTTGAACTGCGAATTCGCTCGGTTGGCTTGAACTTCCGGGATGTGCTCAACGTCATGGGATTGTACCCAGGGGATCCCGGTTTACCGGGGGCTGATTGTGCAGGTACTGTGGTGCGAGTTGGGCCTGGGGTTAGCAGATTTAAAATCGGTGACTGCGTGTATGGGATAACTCCTGGTTGTTTAAGGAGTTTTGCCATAACATCTGCGGATCTCATACGACAGATGCCTACTAGTTTAACATTTGACGAAGCAGCCGCTCTTCCCGTTGTTGCATCGACTGTTGAATATTCCTTAGGAGATCTAGCTAAAGTGAAAGCAGGCGAAAGAGTACTGATACATGCGGTCACTGGGGGTGTAGGCATCACTGCGATTCAATACTGCCAGCGGGTAGGCGCCATTGTTTTCGGAACTTGCAGCGGTGGTCGCAAGGCTGAGTATGCCAAATCCCTGGGGGTTGAATACATAAGCACCAGCCGAGATGCGGCTACCTTTGCAAAGGATATGCGCGAGTTCCTGGGGCCGGATGGACACATAGATGTAGTACTGAACACACTCGTGG